TAAATTAGTTATTTTATCTTATTAACCTAAAATATGTTTTAAAATTTGTAGATTTTCATTAGTGGGTCGCATAATAATTATACTGTACAATTTGAGTGGATTATCCGTATATCGCACTCCGTTTACGGCGTCGTGCTCAAACTTCGTCTTCGTGCGATATGGCCATCATATCCACTATTGTTGCCCAAACTACTATAATAATACTTTATACGACTATTATATAATAAAGTGTTTAGAAATAATTCATTAAAATAAAAAGGTTCAAAAATAATGAAATATGTGAGAAATGTGCAGTAATTTTCGAATTAATCCGTTAAATATTTTTGTCGAGAAGACAAATGAAAATGCTAAAAGCAGCAACAAAAGCACGTTGTAGTTAGTTGTCCACATAGTCTTATAGTCTTCTTGAGTTGTTGATGTAAACCGAACGTCGCAATGGAAGTTTTGCACAATTACACAAATGAATGTATTGGATTTGAATATAAATTGTATTGAAACGTAGAATTCAGAGTTTGGTATTGTATTGTGTGTAAATTGTGACTATTAATAACATGAAGTGGAGTATCAATATGTCCAATCGAATAAGTACAGATCTACATAATTCATGTATTTAAATATCCCTACTGACTGGTCTGGTTATTACCTTATCATCCCATCGACCGTCGTGAAAATAGTACAGGTATTATTTCTGAAATATTCTGTTTTTTCTTACACTTTTGTACCTAGCGATGATATTTTTGTTTCATACATAAATAAAACTACAAGACCTACAAGTAAAACATGTTTAAATCATTTCTTTTAAAACAAACAACAACACAGATAAACAGGATAGTTTTATTTTTATTAGTGTTATTACAGATCATTGCACAATTGCTTACTAAATACAAACTTAGGAGAACAAAAATATAAATACACAAAATGATAAAAGGTACATAAATTATAACAATTTAAAATCAGGTCCGCAAAACGAAGAATGGTAAAATATGTACCATCCAAATAATATCAATGATGTACTTGAGCTATTCATAACTAAATTAACTGACTGAACATATATACTTATAACGGTACACATTTAACTAAAATAAAATTCAACTTATAGGTATTTATTATTTCTAGAAAATGAAACAACATTAAAGCTAGGTTAATCACTATAAAATTAAATTTAGATCATTAATAAAATTAAATAAATGAAATTACATGAATAATTTAATAGATAAAAATAATAACACCTCCAGGTGAATTTGAGGAACAGTTGAGCACACTGGAAAACACTATGTATCTAGACTATACAAATTAAAACCAAAGTAATGCTATTAACACATTGAAATTGAAAAAAAAAACACCTGGCTGGGATAATATAAGAGCAGAGACAGTAATAGAAATCAAAAATGAAATGATACAACCGCTTACTTATCTCATACACAAAATTCTTAATGACGAGCGTTTTTCAGAGTGTCTAAAAATTGGAGTAACCTCTCTATAAAACTGGAGACAAAACTAGAGCTTAAAATTATCGACCCATTTCTTTACTTTCGGTGTTTTCAAAGATATATAAAAAAAATTTAAACACAAAAATAAAAATGTTAGATAAATTTCACATTTTGTCCGATAAACAATATAGAGCAAAAAGAAGATGCAATATAGGTTGCAACTTCGAAATGATACTCGTTTAGATTCAGCTTTTATCTTTGTCGATCGCTCCAAAGCCTTCGATACAGTTTGTCATATGCGTTATGGCACAAAATTAACTATTACGGCCTGAAAGGAATAAATATATAAAATAATAAAAAACTACCCCGACAAAAGATTTCAGTATGTAAATAATAATGGAATATTTAGTGGCCTAAGAACAGTTACTTATGGGGTCCCACAAGGACTTGGTCCGCTTCTATTTACCATAAATAGTTTAATGCTTAAAAAAAAAAAGAAAGCGTTATTAGTTTCGCAGATGACACTGTCATACGTCGAAAAATTTAAACTCGTTAAAATTATACATTCAGGATGACTTTAAAACTATTTAAAAATGGTTTTAATTAGATAAACATACTATAACTACTGATAAAACAAAATAGTTACCATTTACTTCATACAAGAGTAATTTTCCTAATTTTGGTCCACCAAATATTGATAAAAACACTGAAATTCCAGAAGCAATATCAAATAAGTATTTAGGCATCTTCATAGATCGACATCTTGAATGGGATTTGCAAATTACTAACACCACAAATAAATTAAAGAGGTTTTTTTATTAATTTATTTAACGTCAATCTATTTCTAACAACGAGGTTTAAACATCGACGCTGGTGAGCACGCTACACCCAATTACCAGAAATTTAGCCGAATCCTCTGGGTTCCAACCTGAGGTAGGGATCTTTAACGAGCCCAACATTCATGGACTTGGGATCGACGGCTTTACATCTCCTCCAAAAAGATGGCACACCCCACGCTATACCTCGTACTCATTGATATAACGCCTGTCCGCTGTGGTATGCAACTAAGCGAGCAGTTTGTTAGGACGTACGCCGACTTTCATTAAAATGGTCACCCATCCAACTAATTACTGCGCTGGGCCTAGCTTGACTTCAGTACAGTAAGTAAACCTGCTTCTCGATTTTTTAAACAAAAAGCAACTAAAAACCTTTACTATTCTCTGGTCCAATCACATCTTACCTATGGGATTATTGGATGGGGTGGGGCTGCCGAATGTCATATTAAAAAATTAAGTACAATTATTTAATAATGGTTATTAAAAATTATATTCACTAAACCCATAACATACTTTATTGATGAATCTAAACTCTTTGATATGAGACAATTGTAAAGTCAAAACATTATTTTAATAGCTATTTATGAAACCAGTTGCGAAGTGCCTTATTTTATGTAACGAGTGAATATTTGCGTGAGGAGCAGAGCGAGGTTCCGCAACATGAACGAGCTATAAGAATATATAATATAAATTCAATAATTAAAATTATGAAATACATAATACAAATTCATAATTGTAGAAAACTCTTAATTTATAATGGAAATTGAATTTCTATTATGTCTTTCATAATTTTATTTCTTAAATTTTAATTATGTATTTCATAATTTTAATTCTTGAATTTCTATTATGTTTTTTATAATGGAAATACGTTAATTATTATGAAAAACATAATAGAAATTACCAATTTAAAATTATTATTATGTATTTCATATTTTTATTCTTGAATTTCAATTATGTATTTCAAAACAAATTTCTATTGTTTTTCATAATTTTAATTCTTGAATTTCTATTACGTTTTTCATAATTTTAATTCTTGAATTTCTATTACGTTTTTCATAATTTTAATTCTTGAATTTCTATTATGTTATTCATAATTTTAATTCTTGAATTTCGATTGTTTTCTATAATTTTAATTCTTGAATTATAATAAACGTATTCACATTATGAAAAATTCAAGACTTAAAATTATGAAATACATAATAGAAATTAAATTTCCATTATATATTAAGGGTTACCTACAATTATGAATTTCTATTATTTATTTCATAATTTTAATATTGAATTTATATTACCTATTCGTTTATTTTAAATAAGCAATTTCTATTATGTTTTTCATAATGGAAATACGTGTATTAAAATTATGAATTATATAATTTTAATTCTTTAACAGATTAATTACGGAATTAAAATTTTGGAAGGAAATATTTTTTTTCTTGCTTTTTAAACGATGTTATTAAATACCAAAACGGCACGCCACACAAAATTTAGTTAAAATATATTTATTAACAACAATAAATTTGGAAACCAACTATTTAAGTACACATATTTTAAGTTTACGTAGATTTTAGATAATTTCTGAAAAGTTGTAACACAGACAATAAAAAATAGAACACCATCACTTCTTTATAGAGTTTTGGAATAGAGACCTGTAAGATTTATTCTTTGTTAGAACTCGAGAATAAAGACTTATCGACTTTAGATTTTTACCAAAAAAACAAGATGGTGTCCTATTTTATTATTAGTATTGCTAATTTTTATAAAACCTACCTAAAAGATTTACTCAAATACTGGGTTACCAAAATTAATATTTTTCAAATAAAAATACCTAATATTTTAAGATAGAATCATTTGGTCATATTGTGTATAGCGTATATAAATAATTTGATTTCTTAACTATAGTTAATCAGAGAGCAAAACGAACTTCAAGTCCCAGGACAGAACGACAATTATGTTCAAGTGCATATCGTCCAAATTTAATTAATAAACAACTAAAATATCTTTGAGTGTGAAAAAGGAAACTCTTTTTGATAAATAAATTGTTTTTAAGATTTTTATCTCAACATTATTGGATCTTAGCCAGTTCAATAATAATTAAACGTATTTGACTGCACTAATACGAAGAACCTTTTGACTTACCGGATCTGAAGTTGAGTTTCAATTTCTTACAACTGCCGACTACCGACTGCGACTGTCACTATTCAAAGAAGGATCAAGAACCGACATCCGACTTTTTCCAACTGCTTCAAGTATTCGATTTATTTGCATCGGCCATCTCTCATCTGCCTTTGGACATCAAAGTACATCCATGTAGGTAAACATATAGGGACGTACTGCATTAACAAATTTCAGCAAGATTAACGATTAAAAAAATGTCTAATCTGCATTTAAAATCTAGTGGATTATATAGGATTTTCCGTTAACTTTATAGGTGTGAGAAAAAAATTGATGATTAGAAATCATCTATTATTTAATGATACAATCACTTAACAATTTTAAATTTGGCAGACAGATTTTCTTCGATATAGAAAAATAATGCCATGGAAACCAAAATTAAAATCCAGATCAGGGTTAAAAGAAAATAAAAACGAATAAGAGCTGTATTTGTGTTACACTATCTACTCTGTTATAAAAAAAACTATGGTTAACTACGTATTGTAAAAAATTTAGAAAATATAACACGTTAAAATTAAAAATATCTTAACAAACTCTGTATGAATTTTTATCTTTGTTTCAGTAGGCCCTCTCTTCGGAGGTGGTTTCAATGGAAATGGAGCATACACATTTACAGTACCAGGTCTTCCACCAGCTGCCCATGCTCTGGCAAAGTCTACCTTCCTCTTCGATCACGGTAATTATAATTTTAACTGAAAACGTATTTTTATTAAATTAACAATAACTCAAAAGATTTCACTTCTCTGATATATGTTGTAGTTTCATAGAATCGGTCTTTTCAACTCTCGATTTTCGAAGTATCTATTGAACTATTATAATATTTATTTTACTATTATTACAAACTCGCGCCTTGACTTTCATTATAGTAAAACCACTTTCATTATCCATCTCATTACCTGCATCAAATAACAACGTTGTACGTTTTGCATTGAAGGCAAAATCAGCTTTTTGCCATTACTAAAATACTGCAAACATATATATACTAAACAGATTCACAATTTAGCATCATATCAAAATTAAAAAATGAAATATTATTATTAAATTTGAATTTGTTACCGGTGTGATATAGGGACATTTAGGATAATTTTGTGCCAAGCATTGAATTACTGATTAAATTAGCTTTCCTGATTATAAAAGTGTAAAATGACACTCGATATTTGTTGATCTTATTGTTTAAACAACGAAAAATTAGCTAAGCCAGAAAAAATGCATTTTTTTTATATTCTTTAGGATATTTCGAATAAAAAAGTCCTTACGCCCATCATCGTATCTTCAACCCTTTAATTGTTATGAATTTTTTAAAATCCAAAATAGACGAAAATTCTAATTTTCTTGAATTAAATAATATACCTTAAAATTTAAAATGCTATAATTTTAAATTTTTTACCGAATATTCTAACTATAATAAACAAAATAACCTAAATAAATTTTCAAAATTTTGTTTGTTGTTATATCTTTTTTACGTTATAACAATATGCTTTCTACGCGCGTGTACTCTTAGAGAGAAGTACTTCTATCTCACTTCCAACTCAATGTATAAGATGGGTAAAAGAGAGCCCGATGACGCGCTGAATCAATTTTTTGCTGTTTTTCAGAGGTAATAAGTTTAAAAAAATTATTATTAACATTTTTCATAACACTTTGTTATATTTTCCGATTAATAGTTTAATCGTGATTTTTTTTTTATTTTAGATACTTTTGATAACTTTTTTATTTATTAAAGTTAACAGAAACCTTTATTTTTAACATTTATTTTTATTATTAAATTATTGTCAGATACTGCCTGAGAAGTAAAATCTTCTTCAACCTTTTTTTTCAATACGATAAAAACGCCGTGAAAAATTTCTACCTGTTACATGATACAAAACTATTAATCGGCAAATATAACAAAGTGTTATGAAAAATGTTAATAATAATTTTTTAAACTTATTACCGCTGAAAAACAGCAAAAAATTGATTTAACGCGTCATCGGGCTTTCTCTTACCCATCTTATATATTGAGTTGGAAGTGAGATAGAAGTACTTCTCTCTAAAAGTACACGCGCGTAGGAAGCATATTGTTATAACGTAAAAAAACATAAGAACAAACAAAATTTTAAAAATTTATTTAGGTAGTTTTGTTTAATTATAGTTTGAATATTCGGTAAAAAATTTAAAATTATAGCATTTTAAATTTTAAGGTATATTATTTAATTCAAGAAAATTAGAATTTTCGTCAGTTTTGGATTTTAAAAAATTCATAACAATTAAAGGGTTGAAGATACGATGATGGGCGTAAGGACTTTTTTATTCGAAATATCCTAAAGAATATAAAAAAAATTAATTCTTTGCAAAAAATGCATTTTTTCTGGCTTAAGTAATTTTTCGTTGTTTAAACAATAACATCAACAAATATCGAGTGTCATCTTACACTTTTATAATCAGGAAAGCCTTCTGGACATTTAAAAAAAATACGAATTAAAACAATTTTGCAAACGAATGCGCCAGTATGCTCTGGTCTATATGAAGTGTCACACTTGCGATTAGGTATAATTAGGGAAAATAACATTAATATTGCCAAGGTCCCCACAAATTTACCTTTTAACAATGTTTCACTTATAATACATTTCCTATAAAAATTAATTGGTTGGAGAGGAAGGTGGGGAATTAGGTGAGACATTTGAGTATAGGGTTGAAAGATGTCCTCCTTGGATCAATATAATGATCTTGTCTGAACATTTTTTATTAAAAAATTCAATATTTTATTGAATTTATTTCTAAGTGTACCTATACAGGGTGTCCGGAAATGACGAGCAAAAAAGGTAAGGGTTAATTCTACTCGAAAAAATAATACTAAAGTTCATATAGCGTTTTTTGAAAACTCAAAAATAGCATAATTACAGGATGTAAAAAAAAATGATTTCATGATTTTTTCGTAATAACTTTTTCTAGTTTGCCGAATAACCTTAAATTTGATACTCTTATTACTAATATTGTTTTATAGTATTGGACCAAAATTGACATAAATCCTTTAATGCCAAAATGTCTTAGCAGCCCATGACCTAAATAAAATGTCCTAAAACTTTTTTTGCTTAAATTTTTTTATAAATTTTGGAAACTTACAAGTCAAGACCATTAAAATAGCTTTAAAATATACCCTCTTGTACAACTACGATAAAATGAACCGTTTCTAAGAAAATCGCCGTTTGTAAAGAATTACTAAGGATAAGTATGATAAGCCTGTATTTATAAGAAGCGGCCGTAAAGTAAATGCAGCCAAAAAAGTGATACTTTAAAGCGACCGTAAAGTAAATGCGATCAAAAAAGTGACATTTTAAGGATGTAAAATTTAATTTTTTATGACAGTCACCTAAAAACAATTTATTTGGAACACTGTAATTTCGTTATTTCTGAGTTTTCAAAAAAAAAATTTGCTCATCATTTCCGTTTATAAACTCAAGAACAGAAACATTACATATTTTGAAATATAACATTATTTAAAGTATGGTTCATTTTAAACTATTGCATATTTTGAAGTATTGAATTGATACTTTATTTATGGACCTCACTCTGTATGTTTTATTTTGTTTCTTCATTGTGACTAATAAATATTTATAAAATCATCAAGAAGTTTTCATGTACCACAATGATTTAAAAAATATGAAATATTTTTGCTCATGAGTGTAAAATCATAAACCTTATTGTACCCACAGGTTATAATAATATTAATTATTTATTTATAAGAAAAAATATATTAATACACGAACATTTGCAGAATCATTTTACTTAAAAAAAAATAAAATTGAAAGGTGAACAGAGAATGAAATTGTCTTAAAAGTGAAGTGCCTTTAACAATTTTCGAAAATCCGTAAACGACAAACTTAAAGTGGGAAAAAAACGCAAATAATTTTTAATGAAAATTTAGTATAAATAATAATAAAACTCGACCTGTTCCAACTGTTTCTATTATGTTAACATCAGATATAAACTATAACACATTACAATACTCCGAAAGAAAACTTACGAGATGTACCCTGTAATAATTATTATACCGTTTTTGTTAAATTACTTTTACCTCGATTATAAAAACAACAGTTCCTATATAAAAACTAAAAATATGTTTTAATTCGAATTTTATGTTTACTTTAAATCATTCAGTTTTTTTTATTATTATAATTTATACAAAATGTCGTATAAACATTATTAAATGCTTATTCATGAACGACATGATTATTGTTTTTCATATTTTTTAAAAACTGTTTATAATATTACATATTATTATCAGTAATTAGTTAAGTATCTAATAAGTATTTAAAGTGACTAGAGAATTAATTTATTAAGAAAAATTAAAAGAGTATGTAATAAACAGAAAATAATTAAAAGGTAATTAATTTGGGAGTGATTTTAAAATACCTTGAAATAGTTTGTTTCACAATATCGCATAAAATTTATTTTTCCAGCATGTGTACAAGGTTTGAAAAGTTTGCTAATAAATCAAAGTAAATCTTAAAAATAATTTGAATTAATTATAAAGAAAATATAGATATAGAGCAAATGGTATTAGATGAAATTGTTTAAACTTTTCAGGACATTATACAGTTTCTTTTTGATACTTTTTGCATAAAAAAAAAATTGTCGCGATTTACTAAATTCACAATATTTAACCACACTGGCCAGAGTACCTCTGTCACATGTCCCACGTCCCACATTAAGAAAACGGATGCTTTTGTTTTGTCTCCCTTTGAGAAAAATTATATCTGTGTAAAAGAGACATTATTTTAAGCATATGTGAAAATTATGGACATTTCTATTCTGTATATTTACTTGCAGTCAAAAATTACAGCCAAAATTTAAAATGCTTCAAAAAATAATCGCCTCCTAAAAGCGATCATCAAACAATTTGTTTTAACATCGTTTTGCAAGCTCTACATCGTTCCAATTTTAATGCACTTACAGCCGAAGCGACATACATTTTTTGCTAAAATCCTCGGATTAGTTTGACTAGTTATGAACTGGTTATGAACTTCTTGTTTTATTGACTATACGAACAATGAAACTGAATATACGCATACAAAACAAATCCGCCAACAAAGCTATTAGACAATTATTTGCGCTTTCACCAAAATATACTCGTTCCTTCACCAAAATTACAGTTATGTGATTTCAGAGCGTAACAACGATCAAACCCTCACTTTTTTAGCCATTTTGTTCTTTATTATAAGCTACTGTTTTACTTATCTATATGTTTTTTCAATTACTTACAGCCGGTTGTAACAACGTTCATTAAAATTAATAGACCCGATCGTTAGGAAATTAGAAGTGACCCAGAACATTTTTTTAAAAATAATGTTTAAGTTACAGAACTCACAACTTATCTTTAAGGAGGGAACGCATTAAACATTAGGCAATCACGGTTCCATCGAATCGCGGGCTATGCTACTCTTGACCGCGTGCAGTAAAGATCATTCCCATATTAAAAAAAAAAAACAAAAAAAAAACAATAAAAAAACAATAAAAAAAAAAACAATAAAAAACAATAAAAAACAATAAAAAAACAATAAAAAAACAATAAAAAACAATAAAAAAACAATAAAAAACAATAAAAAAACAATAAAAAAACAATAAAAAAAACAATAAAAAACAATAAAAAAACAATAAAAAACAATAAAAAACAATAAAAAAAACAATAAACAATAA